GCTCTGAGTTGCTGGGGATATAATCTCAGTTAGGACCAGAAACCAGGCAGCACAGTCCTGGAGCCAGCTGATCTGTGACCTCTTTGAGCTTGGTAATGATGGGWCACTGAAAAATGCAGCATCACAGACAGTCCTTGTGGGCCTTGCTTGTGTAGGCACTGCACAGCTGAATGTTGGTGCCTGTATGTGAGCTACTCAGCGCAGCCTCCTTTTGTTCTCAGCACACAACCAGGAACTTTTCAGTCATCCTGAGTAGATGAATCACCAGCAGGTATTGGTTCTTTCTTGGCATAAACCTTAMAAAAGAGCCTGGCCCAAGTGGCTGAGATGCCTGTGTTTGGTCAGATGATTTCTGTTYTGATGTGTAGGTGCTGAACTGGGCATTAGTCACTACCATCAGCTCATTGTTATTGATCAGCTTAGATGTATCTGGCTCCCTTGTTTTTGGGGGCTCAGTTGAGCAGTCTCATCCCTGGACAGCCTGAACTTCCCCAGAGTACAAAATTCATCCTCCTCTTGGGCCTCAATCCCATTTTGGTGTTAGTCAAAGCCTTGAGCAATCCTTTCGTGCCAAAGCCCAGCCAGGGCCCTGTCCCCGTGTCCCCAGTGTGGGTGCTCTGACTGCCCTTGCTGGAACCACTCAAGGCACAGCAGCAGCAGAATCTGTTGTCGTGAGTTATCATGTAGTGCCTCCCTCCCTTGACAAATAATAATCCATTTCCCAGAGCRCTCCCCCAGGATGGAGGAGACATGACCAATTTCCTGCTGAGTTTCAGAAGCAGCCAGACCCCCTCTCYTCTGGGGGCTGCCCACTCCACAAGGTCAAAGACAGTTCTCAGTACCAATATTTATGGCTCTCATAACATTAGGGCAATTTGCAAAATCCGTCACTTGTCCTGTGCTGGAGAAACAGCAAGGATGTGATTCTGCAGGAGAGGCARCGTGAGGTTCCTTGGCTTTTTACTCAGACTGTGTGTGAATTATGTAGATGCTGAACAAATGACAGAAACCTTTTCACAGGAAAAGGAGCCAGAACACAGGGCTCCCATTTGTTAAACCAGTGCCGTAACAAAGAAGTTTTCTGGTTTTGGGCAGTAAGCCTTGAACCCTGTTCTCTGGGGTGGCACAGACTAGCAGGAAGGAGTGACAGCACCTCACCTTTTTTCTCTCCTRTGGKTGGAAGTTGCTTCATYGTTGCTTTGTCCATCCAGTGACTGWCCCTGCYGGYTTGGAAGAGCCTGTGCCAGTTTGTGCTTCTGCCAGTGCTGGCCTCAGGCTTATTATCCTTTCCTCTCTGGATATGCTACTCATCATCTGTCCTACCCAGGATTTTAATTTAGTTTATTCCAAAAAGGGATGGAAGGAAGCTTGTACACATAAAAGAAAATTTCTCAGCATAGTTCCAATGCCTGGAAGAGCTTGAACTCTTCTTGACATACCTGCCKAATAATATGCCTTGGTTGAGTCTCTAGGTTTGAGGAATTGAAAAGGCATCCAAAATTTTAAGCAGTCAAAACATTGACTTCTAAAGCTTGTGGCTGGCTGATGTACTTTCCCTGTGTTTAATCTTGGGAGCATAATGTGCCATTTTTACAAAATTTGGTCAGTGCTAATGTATAGGGAAGCATAAAGCAGGTTCACAATTTAAAGGTTTTTCTGTGTATGTTATCTTACTACCAGACTTGTGTTTGCAAACTTACAGGGATATCACTCTTGAGAGAATTTCCCTTCAGTTTTTCACAAGCCTTAAGAAAGAAAGATTTTGACCAACAAAGATTTCTCTCCAACCCACTGAAGATAAAAAGCTCTCCTGGCTATGTGAAATTAGATAGCAGCGTAATATTGTGAGCAGGAGGGAAAATCAGACCTCCTGAGGGGCATGAACTGGGAGATTTGCTACTCACAGCTAAGTGAATTAGGGATGAGGTTATACATGTAATGATCTGCTTTTTACTCAGGGTAGTGCAGCTCTGAGTTCACTGGGGAAGAAAGACATGATTGCTTGTTAATTTGAGGAGTGTGTAGAAGAACTCCTGGGATTGTTTTATTTGAGACTTTTGAAATAAAGCTTACTAGGGTAGGTCAGAGAAATCACACAAAGTTCRTGCTTATGTGCTTTTTATATTTAATGTTGCAGTGCTGCAAATGTAAAAGTTTAGCCAAGAGCAGAGCTTAAAATAGGACTGTGTAAAGTAAAAATCTGAGTACAAAATAAAATGTACCAGTGGCAGTCCTCTAACACTGCTTTTTTTTCAAGATGATGTGTTCAACATCTGTTGGTCATTTCACTGTATGACAAAAATCTGTGAGTGTGAAAAAGGTAAAAGACCATTATCCAGTCTTTTTGTTTTGTTCTTTAACAGTAAGGARCCTTAATTTACAAGGCTGCTAACATATGTCCTATTTGTTTCTGCTGTATAGAATTAAACAATTTTGGTAATATTTGCTGTAGTGTTCTGGAACATGAGCCTGATAAAAGAACGAGTACTGCTGTCTGAACTAACGAGTGCTGCTGTCTGAACTAACACCTCTGCTTTGCTGACTAACACATGGGTTTTATACTTTGGCTGTGAAGTTAGAGAAGCAAACTTGATGGCAGATGTARCTGTCTTCATGAAATGAAAATATTTATTTAGCAGTGTTTTGACAAGCTTTTGGGTCATCTGAAGGACAGCTTTGTACCTGAAATTCAGTTTGTTTTTCCCAATGATATATCTTGATTTAATAAAAACACTACTTCGCCCCAAAAATCCAGATCCCTCCGCAGAGCCTTCCTACAGTCCAGCAGGTCAACGCTCCCTCCTGCATGACTTGGTATTATCTACAAACTGACTGAAGGTGCACTTGATTTCCTCCTCCAGATCACTGATAAAGGTGCTAAATAGGACTGGACCCAATAATGAGCCTTGAGGGACCCCACCAGTGCCYGGCCAGCAGCTGGGTGTTTCTCCATTTGCCACCACCCCTTGGTCCCAGCCATCAGCCAGCTCTTAACGCAGCGAGGAGTGCACCCATCCAAAGATGAGCTGCCAGCTTCTCCAGAAAAATGCAGTGAGAGACGTATCAAAGGCTTTACTGAAGTCCAGGTAGACACATTCACAGCCTCCCCCTAATCCACTGGGCAAATCACCTTGTTGTAAAAGGTCAGGTTGGTCGAGCAGGACCTGTCTTTCCTAAATCCRTGCTGGCTGTGCCTGATGCCCTGGTTGTCCTGTATGTGCCACGTGATGGCACTCCAGAAGAGCTGTTCCRTGACCTTTCTTTCCCACACYGAGGACARACTGACAGGCCTGTAGTTCCCCACATCMCCTCTGGCCCCACAGCCCTTTGGGTACCTAAGTGGCACAGYGGGTCACTGACTCCTTCCTCTGGGTTGCAGGGTGTCAGTTCTGCTCCCCGTCCTTGTCTACCAGCTCAGGGGGCCAGGTGCCCTGAGGATAACCAGACTTTCTGCTGAAARTTGAGGAAAAGAAARCATTTTCCAACCTCTTCATCTCAACCATTGTCTCGTCCTCAGTAATGCTGTTCGCCTCCACACCCAACAAAAGATGCAGATTTTCTTTAGCCCTCCTTTTGTTAACTTATTTATAAAACCACTTTTTATTATCCTTCACAGCAGT